CCGGGTGCTCCGGTTTCCTCCCACAGTCCAAAGATGTGCAGGTTAGGCTGGGGAAGAATGGGGGACACGCTCCCGCGGGGAGTGGGGGGGGGGGGATAGGGGGGGGCTTGCTCCCGCGGGGGGTGTTGGAGGGGGCGGAGAATGGGGGACTCGCTCCTGCGGGGAGTTGGGGGGGGTGCAGAATAGGGGACATGCTCCCGTGGGGAGTTGGGGGGAGGTGCGGGGAGTGGGTGGAGAATAGGGGGCTCGGTCCCGCGGGGAAGGGGGGAATCTGTCAGCCTGAACAGCAGCAGATATACATTGAAGGGAGGAAGCTGGTCAGACCAGGGAGGGAGAGACATAAGGATAGAGGGGAGTGTGGAGGGAGGAGGCTGGTGCAGAACTGAGATACCACCGAGGGCCCAAATATCCTGTCTCTCTCTGCTGGGAATGCGACATTTCTCTCTCTCTCTCTGTCAAAATGATAGTAAAGATCAGTTGGCTATGTGAATTCCGACTGCATCTCAATTACTTTAATGCAGTTGCAATCACCCCTTTCAGATTATCCAATAAAACATGAAATAAAGTAGCTTCTGGCTGAGGGTGATAAATCCATCTCGAGTGTTTTTAATACCCATTTCATTTTATATCCCTCATCAGATTCCTTACACTCAGGCTTTAATGACTTCCTTGTTGTTAAGAGCTCCCCACACATACCTTCAGTCAACTTTTTGAAACAGACAGTTCTGGCATTTAAATAGCACCCCTCACGTCCGCCGTGCAAACCTTGTCGCAGCCCAATATGGTTCCAGTGGGTCGTTGGCTGTGGGAGGTCACCGGTCTTCTAGTACACAGCAAGATTCCACAAAGAGCACCGAGACTTTGAAAAAACACAGCACGTTCGCAGAATGAGGGCATCACTGGCCAGGCCCAGCATTTATTGCCCCAGCGGGCAGTTCAAGAGTCAACTACATTGCTGTGGGGTCTGGAGTCACATGTAGGCCCAGACCAGGTAAGGATGGCAGTTTCCTTCCCGAAAGAGCATCAGTGAACCAGATGGGTTTTTCCCCAACCATTGGTTCATGGTCATCGTTAGATTCTTAATTCCCAGATATTTATTGAATTTAAATTTACCCTGCTGTGGCAGGATTCAAACCCAGGTTCCCAGAGCATTATCTGGGTCTCTGGATTAATACTCCAGCAATAATACCACGAGGCCATCACACTCCCTTGGTCTGATTTAATGGGTATAGTTCAGGCCTTTGTGTTGGCCCTGCACAACAGAGACAAGGCCAGCGCTGACCCTCCGACAGCACCCCGCTCCCTCAGCACTGACCCTCCAACAGTGCCCGCTCCCTCAGCACTGACCCTCTGACAGTGCCCGCTCCCTCAGCACTGACC